CTTTTGTATTTGTATAAAAATAATAATCATTCGGAATTTTAAAGAGTAAGTGTTTAACGTACTGTAATATTTTTAATTTTTTTTAAATTTTATGTAATAAAAATGAACCAATACGTCAGGGATGTTAATTGTACTCCCATTTCAACTAACAACATTTCAAATATAACTAAGTTACAAAATAAACTAGAAAACATAAAACAGCAAGAATATTTTAAAGTGTTCCACCAGAATATTCAAAGTATTAATAAAAATTTTGATGAACTTAAAATTTTCACCTATGAAGTAGTAAATATTGCCTATTGTAAAGGATTAAAAATAAAAATAGAAAATAACAAATTTTCGTAAATACGTTTAGATTGTACCTAGAACAGACACAACATGAGTTAGTAGAACAACATTATTTTTTAGGGGATATCAATATGAATATTTTAAATGGTGAAAAACATCAATATATTATTGACTTTCTAGATACTTTGAGTGAGTATAACTTTGTTTCACTTATAAATACTATCACAATATATACAGGGTGTATCTACCAGCTATATTGATCACATTTTTGTTAAAACAAAAGGAATTAATATATATGATAGAAACAATTTAGCAACAACATATGATACTAACATTAATGGTCATAAAGCAATAATAGGTGGTGTACCAGTAGAATATAGACAAGCAAAAAGTAATGAAACTAAACATTTTAAAATTTATATTGATTATAATAAACTAAATAAAGACCTGGACAATGTAAGTTGGGATATTTATTATTCCTCATTTGATTCTAATTTCATTTCAGAATTACTCACGAATACAGTAAATAAATTTATAGAAAAAAATTCCACAAAAGTTAAATTAAAAAGAAATAAAAGACCACGTAAGGATTGGATATCTGAAGGAATAATAAACTCAGTAAACAAAAAACATCAGTTATATAAAGCCCATATACCTAAATGACCCTACAAACAAACAAAAAACAAATAAATACAAAATTTACAGAAACACTTTAAATAAAGTCATTTCGAAGGCAAAATCACACTTTTTCCAATCTGAAATTAACAAAAATAGTAACAATCAAAAAAATCTTTGGAAAGTAGTAAATAAATCAATCAAAACATAAATACTATAAAAGAAATTAATTCTCAAGATGGAACAATTTTAACAAATGAATTGGAAATCGCAAACTATTTCAAACAGCATTTTGCAACCATAGGACAAACTCTAGCAAAAATGTATCAAAACCCACAACTCAGAAACCTTCCAGAAAATGTGACTCTAGATCATTTTTTCTAAGTCCAATAGAACAGCATGAAATCATGGAAATTATTATAAATTTAAAGAATGGAAAATCTCCCGGCTTGGATGGAATAAGGCCAGAAACAATAAAAAAAATATCAAAATGCATATGCTGCCGAGTTAATTCAAATGGCCGTATCTGTTTATTACTTATACGTGAAAAAAATAGATTTTTTAAGAAAAATCACTTATACTCCCAAATTTCTAAGCGTTAAATGACGAGTTTTACAGAAGATATATATGAAAGTTATAGAGATGGACAAAATATTCATTGTGGGCATGTGTAGTGGTCATATCTTTATTTCAAGAATAATTGTAGTTACGGCCATTTGAATTAACACGGCAGCATGTCCGCTCTTAGTTCATTTATTAAATGTTATATATAACACCGGGATATGCCCTCAAAATTTCAAAACAACTATTGTAACACCTATCTTCAAGAAAGGTCAAAAATGTAATGTTACAAATTATCGATCAATTTCTCTTATTAATACGTTTGCAAAAATTTTTGAAAAAACTATTAAGAATCGGTTAACGAAATATCTCGACAAATTTTGAACTTATATCGGATAAACAATTTGGGTTTAGATCAGGAGTTTCAACAAACGACGCAACGTCTCAAATTATAGGGGAAATATACAAAGAAATCGATAAAAAGAAACCTACTTTACGTGTTTTTCTTGATTTAGCCAAAGCGTTCGATACTGTAGACCATATATGAATCGGTCATTTCAGAAACGACACATGTCACATTTGTGGCCATTTTGTTTTTATTACAAAAATACAATATTTAAAGGTAAATTATAATTATTGAATTATACCCAAAATAGAGCAAGTTGTAAACGCTAAGTGTACAAAACTATTTTTTAATTATGTTTTGAGATTTTAATGTTTTCTTATTTTTTGAAAAATGATCTACAACTGACATGTGCTGTTTCTCAAATGACCGATTCATATGCAGTTATAGCCCAATCGGATTAGTATTTTAGATTCTGAAAAATTCGAAGCAGCAATTTTCCTTCGGAATTCGTTGGAGGGGGTCTCTGGTAGTCTAAATTCAAAAAGTTGGGATTCCAAAGTTGTCGTTACCTCCGCCATCTTGATTTAAAGGGTTATTTTTTGTATCTTTAATAACTCATTTATTTTCAATTTTACACGGAAAATAGTTTTTACAAAAGTTATTTAAAATTAAATTTCCTACAATTTTGCTTTTTTTTGTACGATCGATTTTTTTCGATTTATACCCGAAAAGAGGGGGTGAATTTTTGGTTATAGAATAACTCGTTTATTTTCAATTTTACGAGAAAAATTGTTATAAACAAAGTTGTTTAAAATTAAATTTCCTACAATTCTGCTTTTTTTTGTACGATCGATTTTTTTCGATTTATACCCAAAAAGAGGGGGTGAATTTTTGGTTATAGAATAACTCGTTTATTTTCAATTTTACGAGAAAAATTGTTATAAACAAAGTTGTTTAAAATTAAATTTCCTACAATTCTGCTTTTTTTTGTACGATCGATTTTTTTCGATTTATACCCGAAAAGAGGGGGTGAATTTTTGGTTATAGAATAACTCGTTTATTTTCAATTTTACGAGAAAAATTGTTATTAACAAAGTTGTTTAAAATTAAATTTCCTACAATTCTGTTTTTTTTTTGTACGATCGATTTTTTTGTATTTATCCCTGAGAAGAGTGGGGGTGAACCTAAGTATTGTATTGTCACGTTTATTATTGATGTTGTACCATTATTTTTTCTGTTTGTTTTTTTTTTGCTGATTTTCAAAAATGTTATTTGGTACAATTATGATTCCGATTTTTTCTAAGAGTTTACCCCCACTCTTCTCAGGGATAAATACAAAAAAATCGAGCGTACAAAAAAAAAACAGAATTGTAGGAAATTTAATTTTAAACAACTTTGTTTATAACAATTTTTCTCGTAAAATTGAAAATAAACGAGTTATTCTATAACCAAAAATTCACCCCCTCTTTTCGGGTATAAATCGAAAAAAATCGATCATACAAAAAAAAAGCAGAATTGTAGGAAATTTAATTATAAATAACTTTTGTAAAAACTATTTTCCGTGTAAAATTGAAAATAAATGAGTTATTCAAGATAAAAAAAATAACCCTTTAAATCAAGCTGGCGGAGGTAACGACAACTTTGGAATCCCAACTTTTTGAATTTAGACTACCACAGACCCCCTCCAACGAATTCCGAAGGAAAATTGCTGCTTCGAATTTTTCAGAATCTCAAGCCTGTTCTTCACCTAATCCGATTGGGCTATTACTAGATGCATTGGAGGAAATTGGAATTCGGGGTGTAACATAATCTACTCCGCAACTATCTGAGGGATCGGACGCAGGTGGTAAAAATTGGCGAATCTGTAAGTACTGGCAGGTATTTGCATTATGGGGTTCCACAGGGAACGGTTCTAGGGCCGTTAATGTTTTCTGTATATATAAATAACTTACTTAACCTAAACTGCTCCGGAAAAATATATAGTTTTGCAGATGATACTGCGATCTTTTATTCCTCAGACTCATGGACAAACCTGAAAATAAAGGCAGAACAAGATTTAAGTAAAATTATTGATTGGTTTAATCATAATTTACTAACCATAAATTATCAAAAAACATTCTTTGTACCATTTTCAAGTTATAGTAGAAATTTACCATCTTATGAAATTTTGAGCCTGATTATCTGTGGACGTAACACAAAAATAAATTCTACGCAAAAAATAAAATATCTAGGAGTAACTATAGATTCTCATTTAAGATGGAAAAATCATATAGAAGAAGTAACAAAAACACTTAGAGTTTTATTATATAAATTTAAACATTTAACTCGTATACTTACCATACACCAATTGAAGATACTATATTATGCACTAGTAGAGTCACGCCTTCAATATTGCATCTTAAGTTCCTATACGTATTTACGAAAATTAAATGTAATTCAAAAAAGATTTCTTAAAATAATGTATCGCAAACCACTTATTTACCCTTCAAATTTGTTATTTTCTGAATGCAAACTTCTCGATATTAGACAACTGTATGTGTATAATGTTTTATTGTACGTCTATAAAAATAGAAATCTACTACATACAATCTCTCATAATTACAGCACCAGGAATAAAATAAAAAACATAGTTGTACTGCCATTAGCAAAAAAAACGATGGGTCAAAAAAATTATTCTTATTTGGCAAACGTATTCTTTAACCATCTGCCTGACAAATACAAAACGTATATTAAAGTTTTAAATAGTGTGCCTTTAATAACAAACTGAATTAAAGACTTTATTATAAATACTAACAGAACAGTGATCCACAAATGGCACTTGGGGGGGTAAAAGGGTATATGTCCTAAATCAACAATTATGGAAAACTGAGTTTAAAGTTATAATATTCGCGTTTGAATAACGGTTTTTTTTTATCCCCAATTTTTTTATGAAACTAGGTATTTTTTTGTCCTTAACGCATTGTATGTAGCAATAATTAAAATATGATAATTTTTACGAAAAAAAATATTACTTATACCCCTTTACACGTGAAATATTGAAAAAAACGAACATATACCTCTTTTCCCTGATTAAATAAAAAATTTGAATCATACTTTTTCAATTTTTTTTTTATTAAATTTAAAAATAAACAAATCATAATAAAAGCAGACTATATAATTTTGTTTAAAATAACAAAACATTACTATTAATCGCTTGACTCTTCATCGCTTAATGGGAGAGCATTTGGAATATTATCCTTCGTACAAAGATTTTGATAAAATGAATGAAAGGTCTTATCAACAATGGCAATAGTTCAATTAAATTTTCTTCTTTCATTGGATTAATTGGGACAGGTCCTTTATAGCTTAATGGGGGCTTAATGATATTGGGCATTGAAATTTTTGATTTACGTTTAAAATCAATCTTTTTAAACGGTTCTTCATATTTTAAAGTGGTTTTGTATTGTACTATTCCAAACTGATCTGCAGAATATCGGAGCCATTTTATATCTCTCCATATAACTTGCTCTCCAGCCTCGTTTATTTTTTTGTTTATGAAATACGTTTTAAGTAAAGCTGAAAACTCAAGAAAATCTTTTCTTTTCATCTCAATCACTTTAAATGGTTTTGTCTTGCCACACATGTGTACAAGTTGCATCCAATCACGTGGGTGTTCAATGGGAGCTTCATGTTTCTTCTTTTTCTTTTCAATAATAGAATGATCTGTATCGCATTCCATATGCGTATGTCCGGGCTCTAAGAACTTATGATTGATGTTTTCTAAACTTTTTATTTCTCTCATAAGTAGCATGAACATAATAGGCAAAAAAGAATTTTTGTTTTGCCCGGCACATGTGTCGGAATAAAAAGTCAATGTTTTTATTTCTGGATCTAAATTATCTATCAGCTGTTTATAGAGACATGATGCTATTTGGTTAGCGCCTCTTCCAGCCGTGGCTTCGTCCCACATATAACAGAAAACTTGTTTGTCCTCACACCTATGAATCGTCAAGTTGAATGTCCATAGTTGGCGCTTATAAAAAACGACTGACGTTTGAATATCAGGAGTGGGCAAGCATTGCTGTAGATCGAAAGTAAATACAGATTTAGACTTATCATGCAAAGCTTCTTGTACCTATATCTTTTTTTTTATTCGTAAGCATACTCGGCATCTGTTTGATGCTTGTTTAAATCATTTTCAAATGTTTGCTTTTTAACGGTATCTGACGTATTTTTAAGCTGCATATGAATCATATCGCATTTAGCACAACTATCTTTTTTAGGGTTTTTTATCTTAATCTTCATACTACGAAACACATCTTCATATATTCTTCGACTTCGTCATTGTTTCAGGAATCCATTTTTTATATTCTTCATATATTCTTGTGAGCGTATAATGGGATGGAAGAAATTTGTTTTCCGTTTGTTTTCTGCAATAGTGACTTTCATAAGACGGTAAAGCAGAGACGTGATTTTTAACTAGGTCTAAAGCTTCTTCAGAAGTTTTATTCTATGGGACTCCTTTACCTCTTCTATCTTCCAATGTTATTCCAGAAAGTGAATATTCCTTTTTCTTAATAACATTCGTTAAAAACTTATTACTCTCGTCAAAGGTTAATAGAAAGCACTTTTTGCATACCTTTGTCAGTTGCCCATTAATATGTATGAGATACACTTCTATTTTTGTGCTTTTTGTCTGTTTTTTTAGCACGAGTGGTTTCTTTTTCTCGGGTAGATACAAGCGTTGCAATATAAGCTACCCTTTTATTAAAACTGCCCATAGACCAGTATTCGTTAAATATGGTTTTTCTTACCTCATCTTCTAACCTTTTACTGCATTTTAATCTGCATTCATGTAAATCCCTACATTTTCTTTGTGGTATGATTTTGTTTGTTTTTGTTAAATACTGATCTCCTAGGTTGCGCTTAGTTTTCCGCTCATTCCTTACTAATCGTGTTTCTCCTTTTTGAATTCTCTTACTGTTCCCGATTGTATTGTTCTCGTTTATGTGAATACCATCAGAATCTTGACTAAAATGCATGTTTTTAAATTTAATTTTTTTATTTTTCGACTTATCGTTTTCTATTTTCCTCTTCTGCAATTTTAAATCTGTCGAAATCGGTTCACCTTCGGAAGAGCTGTCACTACTTTCTTTTTCATAAAGCTTGTCTTTTACACTGTCATCACTGTCCTCCATCATTATGTAGTTTTTATTCCAAATTCTCTCTGAGGTTGATGGTTCATCGGCAAATATTTTATTGTGTTTTAGATGAAGCATATTATTATCTATTGCGCTAGATTTGCCAGTATTGACTAAGATTGAATCATTGATAATGTCTGAAAATTGTTCTTGTAGACACGGATTTAAAGAGAGTGGGGAACTACTATTAACGCTGCTTAAATCCTGTTGTATAAGCGGTGCAGTAATAGGTTGTACAATTGGTGCAGACGCATCTTCGTCATTACCTAAAAATCACAACAATGTATGTTAATATAAATAGTTGTAATTGTTTTTATTTGTGGGTAGGTATGTTCTTACCATTATTCTTTATTATGGTATCTAGTTCTATGTTATGATATGCAGCATTTTTTGTTACATTATCCTGTAGAAGCATTCCAATGGATTCGCCAGTATCGACCAATATTGGATTAATAATCTCCGAAAATTCTTGTAAGCATGGAATCAAGAATAGTGCAGAACTACTGTTAACGCTGCTTGAATCCTGTTGTATAAGCGCAGAAATATGTTGGACAATTGGTGTAGACGCATCTTTATCATTACCTAAAAACCACAATAACGTATGTTAATATAAATAGTTCTTTTAATTATTTTTGTTTGAAAATGAGTATGTTCTTACCATTAATGTTTATTTTAGTGTTCGATTCTGTATTATAATAATCAGCATTTTTTGGTACATTATCTTGTAAAAGCATTCCAAGGGATTCGCCAGTATTGTCCAAGATTGGTTCATTGGTAAGCACTATGTTCTTGTAAACATGGATCCAAAGATGGTACAGAGTTACTATTAGCACATCTTAAATCCTGTTGTATAAGTGGCTCAGATGTATCTTTGTCAATATCTAAAAGCCAAAAATGTGTTTTTATGATTTTCTATTCTCTTATAAAAAGTATACAATATGATGAAAACGAAAGGAATAAATTCGTTTTTAGCTTAACAATAAATTTTAAGAAAAAACCTAAGACAGGTAGATTTTAGATTTTAATTTAACGTATTTTTTACGTAATATGTAAATATACATGGTAAACAATCTGCGAGTAATGATGTCATCGACAATTTTTTTAAATGATACACCCTGTATATTTTTTTGAGATTGTAAATTTCAAGACGATTCCAAAAATATATCATACTATGTTCGATAATTAATAATTTTGTGTGATGCTAATGTAAGGAATAAATTCTTTTTTAGCTAAACAATCAATTTTGAGAAAAAATCCTAAGACGTCGATTTTTAATTTATTCCAATTTCACTTAATATGTAAATATACAGGGTAAACCATCAAAAATCGACTTGTCTTATGATTTTTTCTCAAAATTGATTGTTCAGCTAAAAATTAATTTATTCCATCCATTTGCATCATACGAAACTATTAATAACCGAACATAGTGAGTGTGATATATTTTTGGCACCCCATCGAAATGTTAAAATCCTAAAAATAAAATATACAGGGTTAGCAGTTTAAAAAAATTGTCGATGAAATCACTACTCACAGATGGTTAACCCTGTATATTACGTAAAATATATATTAAAAACAAAAATCGATCTGTCTTAGGAAATTTTCTTAAAATTGATTGTTTAGCTAAATATGAATTTATTCCATACAATTGAATCATACTGTAGAATAAATTTGTACCTAATCGAGAAAAAAATAACAATACAATTTAGGTTTTGTAGGATAATAAAGTTGTACATACTTACATTTTGATTCGCTTCTAATAGAGGCATCGTCAACATAACTTCTTAAAAACTGAAGTCGTTTTGGGCGGTTAGAATACATAACCTTGATTTTGCAATCACACAAAATAAACCAAAAAACACTTTTTATGCCGGTATTTGAATTTGCAACAATTACGCTCACTAGTATAGTTTATTAATAATTAATTAAGCTCATTGTTAACCGTAACGACTTAAAAACACAATATTTTTTACTTTGTTGTTGTTACATCAACCTTACTTCACGGCGTTTTTTGTATCACTGAAAACAAGTCATATTGTTTACTTCCATATTACGAATTCGCAAGCCGGGAAAACAGAGATAAGTATATTTGTACCGCGCAACTTTGATGAGCGGAATTGTGTTAAAAGATATAAATTTAATTATACCTTTGTCCTCAAGCAAAGATCAAACAAGTTTTTAGGGAAAAGGAAGATAAGTATACTTATTCCTTTTTTAACTATTTTTTATAGTAATATAAGAAAATCTGAGAAGGGAAATATGTCAACATACACCCTTTTTCCCAAATAATTAAACCAAAAAAAAAGTATAAGTATATTTATATTTCTTTTCACAAAAAATGTTGTTCAAATTGTATTCGTGAGTAAGCTCTAACAAAACTTACCCCACTTTTCACAAAAAAATATACATTTTCTGTAGTTATTTCCTTTTTCACAATTAAAAATATCGCATTTGTAAGGCTTAAATGACTTATATCCCTTTTCCCAGGGGTACAGAATGAGTTTAGAAGTATCATGGCAGATTTAACTCAATTTTGAATATTTTGGACTTATACCCCTTTACCCCCCCAAGTGCCAAATGGTTCTAATAATAAATATTATTCTTTTTTAAGAAATTTTTGCATAAAAAAGAAAAAACATTTTTATTACATATTTTGTGATTCGTTCTTTTTTACTTTCCTATCTGTATACAGATATAAGGAAAGTATAGGAATCATGATTTTTTTCGACCTCGAGTTTTCGACGAATTTTTACGTTTTGAGGTCCCCTGAATCCGTTTTGACTATTTTCGCGATGATGTCTGTGTGTGTGTGTCTGTGTGTCGCATAACTCATGAACCGATACACAGAAAAACACCAAATTTTAAACTTAAGCTTTGTTCGAGCGTCCAATTTGCTGATTAGATTTTGAGCAAAGTCGGAACATCTGGGGGGGAACTTTATAGGTGGTCATTTTTATATTTTATGGAATATATCTGTTATTTACGATTGGGGAAGAAAATTCTTCAAATACTTCTTATATTATTATCTATAATTTTTGTTCTATACAAAATTTTCCTAAAATGGTCCGTATTCGAGAAATTTTACAAAATGTAAAAAAATATTTTTTTATAAAAATTGTTCAAACAAAAGTTGTTTGTAATATAATTCTCTATAATTTTTATTGTATACATAATTTCTCTAAAATGGACCGTATTCGAGATATTTAAGAAAATGAGTAAATTTCGAAATTTGAAGAAAACTCAAAAACGGATAAAGAAAAATACATTAAATTTTAAACTTAAGTTTTATTTCGGCCTGACGTGAAATGAATAGATTTTGGACAAAGTCGGAACATCTGGGGGAGTACTTTATGGGAGGCCGTTTTTATATTTTATGGAATATATCTGTTATTTATGTTTGGAGAAAAAAATTGTTCAAATAAAAGTTGTATGCGATATCGATCTCTATAATTTTTGTTTATACATGATTTTTCTAAAATGGACCGTAATGGAAAAATTGTAGGAAAAGTGCTAAATTTAAATTTTTCAGTATTTTCGTTTTCAATGAATATCCTCCTCTAAACATTTATAGAGGTGCTGCAATAGGTTGTACAAAATAACCGGAAAAAGCTTGTAATAACTAGATAGGAAAGTTATGTATTGGACACATCAGATTTTTTTTATTTTTATTATTATTATTTATATTGGATAAACATGCTAAGTACACGTTGTCATCTAAACATGTGTAGCCCATGCACAACTTCGGTTTTTATAGTTTTTATAGTCACCACTCTTTATATTTTATATTGTGTTTTTTATTATTTTATATTGTATTGTATAGTGTTTAAGCTATTGTATTGTTGGAGGTAATTGTATAGTTGTATAATTGTATATTTGCACGCCCTATTTATAAATTTCTTTTCGCACACAAGTTGTAACGCTACAACTTTATGTGAATTAACGTTTATTTACTTTAGTGATTATTGTATTGTAAAAAAAATATTTTTTTGAGTAAAACTATATTATTATTAATATACAAAATGATCTGATTATTTGCAACTGGAATCTTAATACTATTGATGTTGAAG